AGTAAAGGAGTTGGTGTAATATCACGATCAAAGGGAGGAGACATTGCTCTCTCACTTGCTGCTTTTGTGCCGGGTGTTGAAGCAGTGGTGTGGATTAACGGCTGCAGCGCCAATGTTGCCTTTCCTCTTTTCTACAAAAAGCACAAGATCCTCTCAGCTTTAATGTTTGACACTAACAAGGTGATTCGCACCGAGTCTGGCGCCTACATTGTGAAGTTTACTGTTGATGATCCCCGGGCAGAGGAGAACAAGGGCAGTCTGGTCCCCATCGAAAGAGCAAAGGGGCGTTTTCTGTTTGTGGCTTCAGAGGACGACTTAAACTGGGACAGTAAGACTTACATGGACATGATGGTGGAGAGACTGAAGCATCATGGGAAGGACAACTTTGAGCGTTGGTGTTACTCCGGAGCAGGGCACTACCTGGAGCCGCCTTATTGCCCGTACTGCCCCTCCAGTTTTCACAGCATTGTGGGTAAACCAGTCCAATGGGGGGGTGAGCCCAAGTCCCATGCAGCAGCTGAAGTCCACCTGTGGAAGAAGATCCAGGAGTTCTTCAGGACTCACCTGAGATGTGATGCTCCGCAAGCTGAAGCCAAGTTATAGAGAAGGATGATGGAAATTACCCAGGAACAAATCCTGATTAGATGGCTGTAAATGAATACTAGAGTAGTGACATAACGGCTAACTGATTTGCAAAGATGTAGGAAGAAGGTCTGTTAAATAGTGCTGAATGCAGATCTCCAATCTAAAAGTAGGAGAATAAACTTCATCTGAACTTTCTTCTCTCTCTTCGTCTTTATTTTTTGTGTCTTGCTCCTTTTTCTCGTCATTTTTGAAGACTATTTCAACACTAAATGCATGGGGCCCGCGTCTAATTGAGACCTGCCTTAATTTGTCACAACACGCAACTTCAGTGCCCTGAAGTTTTTGCTGCTTACTATAACGACAACTAACACTTATTATTCTGTTTCGAAAATGGCTTCGATGGATTTGAGCAATCTGACTACTAAAAGTGTTTTTACACTCAGTGGTGATTCTAGAGTCTGTTGGGGCCCTCGGCAAAAATAAATTGGGAGCCCCTCCGACCACCGTCTGCCAGTGTATCAACACTTTTACTCTTTCTTTAATAATTCCTCTCCATTTAGCTACAGTGACTTTCATTCTGCTAAGAAGGGTAATGAGAGTAATTCATGTCATATGGGGCCCACTAAAGAGTTTCTTTCCTACTGTCATTGCAAAATTTGCACGTTTTGAGCTGCTGCTGCGGTTTAAAGTTTGTCAGCCTTCTGGGGCCGCTTACTGGCCAGTTGCCTGCCTTGCCTATTGACCAGCAGCGGCTCTGTCACAGTTACCCTTTGACACACTGAGGCTGCTATGTAAAGTGTCCATCAGTATTAACTTAACCCAAGAATTCACATTCACAAAATCACACTGTAGCCCACCGAATCCCTGTTTATATTCGAGATGGGCCCTGAGCTCTTTTTAAACCAAAATCAATCTGTAAATACTAGGGGTGTAAAGGTACACGTACTCGGACTGGACCGTTTAGGTACAGGGCTTTCGGTCCGGTTCGCACACAGAAGTGCTTTAATCTGTGTTCCCACACGGATCGCAAAGCAGAAGCACACCTCAGGGTGGAGGAAGGCTGCGGCCTGCTGGTATGGGACACAGCTTTTAGTTTGTAACTTGTGAAAAATGTCAAATATAAACTGTGCAAACTATGCAGATTACTAGTTCCTCGAGCCCTGTCGGTTTGGACAGTTGCATATAAAGGAGTACATATAAGGGAGTAGGGGTTCAGGCAGACAGGCTCAAGGCCTGGATGAAGAGTCATGCAGTGTGGCTCCTCTGGAAGCTCCAGACATTTATTCTGAACCTGTTGGAGTATGTGTTAGAAGGTGTTTCAGCTCTGACGATCCAGTATTCATCTTGTGTATTCATGCTTTGAATGATCAAACTTTGTTCTGCTGCTGTAATACATATTTCAAACTAATACAAACGTGAGGTGTCTGAATTGATTTACTGGGACTAATGAACTGTGTGTGTCCTCTGAGTCCTGAAATCTTTCTAAACTCCTCACCTTTAAGGCCATCCACAACCTCGCTCCTCTGAACCTCTCTGAACTCCTGCACATCAACACACCTACTCGCACTCTCAGGTCTTCTTCTTCCATTCAACTCACTGCACCACCCGCCCGCCTGTTCACCATGGGGGTCCAGGGCCTTCAGCCGCTCTGCCCCTCACCTCTGGAACTCCCTCCCACCACAAATCCGTAATATCGACTCTCTCTCTATTTTCAAATCTCATCTAGAAACACATCTTTTTAAACTGGCATATTCAGTCTGATCATTCTCCACCCGGTCTCATAACTCCTCTATGTCCTGTACATTTGTGTTTTTAAGGTTAATTTTATCGTTGTGTTGTTACTTTGTTGTTTTCATCTCTGCATTGTTAGGTGACCTTAAGAGTTTTGAAAGGCGCCTTTAAATAAAATGTATTATTATTAAAACTGCTTCGTAGTGTTCAGCCTGTCTTTTGTCTGATCTAATTAAGTAATATGAAGATCTTCAGTATACAGAACATTTATAAAAAGTCTTTCTGGATGTTAAATAAGCCATACGACTGATAGAGTAAGAAAGCTACAAAGTACAACACGGGACTCAGAGACACTTTCTTATATTTTATTGTGATGGGGAGTCATAAAAATGGAGCAAATCTAAAATAAAAACGATACAAAAAGACAGTGGATTTACAAAGGGTGAGGACAGAACGAACGATATGCAGCCTTGGACATTACAATGGAACGAGTTGGCACAGAACAGAAAAAAAAAATAAACAGGGTGGAGGGATGATCTCAAATTTGGCTTCAAAGTAAAGAGGGAGGAGGAACGGCTTCATAACAAGATCCTTCGGTAAAATGGCGACGACTCATGCTTTTTTTTTTTTTAAATCAGAGTTTGTAGAATTCAGTAGCTTCGTAGCGACGCAGAGAGCGGATGCACATGTAACAGTTTCTAATTCTCTTCATTCCTGGCTTTTTTTCTTCTTCTCTTTTAGCTTCAAACAGAAGTTTACAGAATACATGTTTTATCTTTTTTTTATACCTTTTTTTTTTGTTCAAACAAACTTAAGCTCCCAGAACCACATTAGGGCTTTTTTTTTCCTGTTTGTCTTGAGATTATTTTTCATACTAAAATATATTATTGTATCAATTCAAACTACATTAATGTACACTACAATGTGTAATAAATAACCATTAAAGAAAATATAAAAATAAGACACATAAATATAAAAAAGTCTCCTAAAAACTAAACAGGTACATTTTTTTTTAATCTGTGAAAAGGGTTCTAATACTGCCATTGTCGGAAAAAACAAACAAAACAAAAAAAACATACTGACGACACACTTCAAACTATTTGAAACAGACTCATATTTCAAACACTGTTCGGCTTCAACAACTGAAAACACTTCAACAGAGACCACATTCACTAACATTTGTTACCTGAAGTGCGGGACAGCTTGCCACTAACTCTTTTTTATTAATTATTTTTTTACCATCTGAAAACGAGTGCAGAAGTCTGTACAACTTTAAAATGTCACTCTGAAAATCTGTCTTCAAAATACTTGAAACTACGGAGTCCCTGAAGTCCCAAAAAGTGAAAAACAAATCTTGTGTGCACAGGTTAGATGAGATCTTGTTCACACAAGATTTTTATTTTACTTTTTTGGACTTCCTGGGCTCCGTATGAAAATGATCTTGATTTTTTAAATACAGTTTTGAAGCCTTTCTGAGCCGATCTTGAGGAGTAAAAAGTCCAGATTTAGCTTTGAAAGGTTCAATTTTGTGTTTGAAATCACTTCTGTAAACATCTTCAAACCAACAAATGAACTCACTGTTTTTATTTTTTACTGCTAACATCGACGGGAAAAGTGATTATCTCAAGTTTAAAAGGCATTTCATATCCACAGGTTAGCTCACTGAGCTTTTTATCCACTTCAGAATCTTTCAAATTGTAGTTTTAAAAAAGTGAAATACTTTGGACAGTGTTGAGAAACTACAAACTGTCAGATGTTCCAAAACTGATAATTTATGTTCAACAAACACATTTTCAAGAAGCATCAGGACTCAAAGCACAATCTTTTTCTAAATATATTGAAGGTAGGGCCGACTTAGCGCCATCTAGAGCCCAGAAGAGAAGTCAAGTGAGTTACTGAGGACTTCGTTGATTGACAACAGGGTCTGCTTTTTGTTTTCAGCTCTTTCGAGTCGAGGGATTTGCTGATTCAGAAAATGTAATATAATGGGTTGAAGATTGGTGTTAAAGACAGAATCACTCACGGAGTCTACCATTTTTTAATTAGAATTGGCTTTTTGAAATCATAATAAGAAGTTCTAATATTTTGTTTTCCAGAGTTTCTGTGCGGTCCAAAAACTTTTAAAGGCCTTCAAATGTTAACTAATTCATTTCACAGTTAGGTTTCTCGCAGTAAATATGGCAAAAAAAAAGATCTGCTGTTCTGTGCAAGTCCACAAACATTAGTCAATATGGGTCTTTTAAGTAACAGAGGAACATATAATACTGGCTACATGTGAGAAGAAGAAATAATAACACTGTTCAATGGCACTTTTAACAGCACACAGGTCTTGCATAAGGCTGGAGGCATTGGGGTGGAGCGGGAAACAGGCCCCGCTCCTTCACGTACAGTATGACATTTCATATATCTATATAAGCTAGTAACACTGAAACACTGAGAACAGAAATCGACCAAAATAAGGAGAAGCTTGGTAAGAGTGGGCGCGCGTGTTTCATGACACGGCCGAGCCATGCAGGTGTGGAGACTCCGCCCGCTCAGGCGACGCCGGGTGACAAAACACACGCGCCTGATGCTGGCTTTGAGGTCGTGACTCTACCTTCCCTGATTGGATAAATTTGGTTATGGCGTCCAGAAGCCACGTTCTCGTCCCGGACTCCCCATCCCCCCTTCCCCCCACCCTCTCCCCGCCCCCAAGATTACTTTGTTTTCTTTAAGGCTAACAGTCAAACTGAAAACAAAGCTAACGCTAACTAGCAAACTAACACGCACATGAACGACACCTGGCTAGCTAGTGTACGTTTTATAACACTGAAGGGCATACGATGCATGAGGCATGTATCCGTAGGTAAACCAGGAATACTGTAGTGCAGAGGTTTTTGTTCGTAGAACTCAATAAAATACTGATTTAGGAAACTTCATTTGCAATAAAAAGGTATAGAAATCTTCCTCAACTTTACAGGTTAAAATGTCAAGAGATTAGTAACACTGACCAAATGAAAACAAACAAAACAATAAAAACAACCTGGGATGTCTCAGTAACAAGTCTAACAAGTTGATGGGTGAGTTAAAATCTGTACTTCTATAAACAATTTCAACACTGATATTTCATTTTCCACAAGAAAAAAAAAAAGTCTTTGTTTTTTCCTGTTTTCAAGTTCAGGCACACCTGGGTTTTTGTACACAGTAGTGGACCGTTAAGATCAGGCAACCGCCGCCGCTTCACGACCTCTCTGCGGTTTTGTCTCGGATAACTCGACTTCAGTGAGTTACGGATTCAAACTGTCCCCCGGACAGATTTTCCTTCGTTTATTTGGCGTCTGTCGTCACTTCTTCTGTAGGTTGAGCGCTATCTGTCGTCACTTCATCCGAGGGCTCGGCGCAGTCTTTCAACACTTTCTCTGTGGGTTGGCCAACGTCTGTGACTTTCTCCGTGGGCTCAGCGCGGTCTGGCGCCATTTCCTCTGCGGGTTCGGTGCCATCAGTCATTACTTCATCTGTAGGTTTGGCGCAGTCTGATGTCACTTCCTCTGTAGGTTGGGTGATATCTGTAGCCTCCTCCTCCTCCTCCTCCTCCTCTCCTCCGCTGCTGCTGCTGCTGGAGGTTTGACGACGTCTTTCAGGACTTTTTCTGTTGGTTGGGTTACATCAGTTGCCTCTTCCTCTGTGGGTTCACCACTGTCTGTGGTAGCTTCCTCTGTAGGCTCGGCGCCGTTTGTCGCCATGTCCTCTGTAGACTCAACGATGTTTGTCGCCATGTCCTCTGTAGACTCAACGCCGTCTGTCGCCATGACCTCAGTGGCCTTAGCGATGTTTGTCGTCAAGTCCTCAGCGCTGTTTGTCGCCATGTCCTCTGTTGGCTCTGCACCGTTTGTCGCCATGACCTCAGTGGCCTCAGCGATGTTTGTCGTCAAGTCCTCAGCGCTGTCTGTCGCCATGTCCTCTGTAGACTCAGCGCCGTTTGTCGCCATGTCCTCTGTAGACTCAGCGCCGTTTGTCGCCATGTCCTCTGTAGACTCAGCGCCGTTTGTCGCAATGTCCTCAGGGACATTTGTTTCCATGTCCTCTGTCGACTTGGCGCCGTCTGTCGCCATGGCCTCTGTCGACTTGGCGCCGTCTGTCGCCATGGCCTCTGCAGGCTCAGCGATCTTTGTCGCCTTGACCTCTACAGGTTTCTTGATGTTTGTCCTCAAGTCCACAGCGGGTTCAGAACTCTCTGACCCCTCCCCGACTCTTTTTTCAGAGTCTGGTTCACAGTTTGCCAGTTTTTCTTTATTTGCACTTGCTACTCCCTTTCCTTCACTTTTCCCCCCCGTCTCTTCCTCCACCACGTGATCTTCCTGCAGCTCCACCTCTACAACATCACAAGCTAAGTCCATGGCCGCCGCTCTTCTTATCGACTCTTCATCCATCTCCTCTTCCTCCTCCTCCTCCTCCTCCTCCTCCTCCTCGTCATCGTCCTCAAAGTTCCCCTCGTAGATCTCGCACTCGCCGTCATCCACCTGAATGACCCGGATGTCGTCCATGCACATGGCCTCGTCGTCGTCGTCTTCCTCGCTCTCCCTCTCGTCTGAGTCCAGCTGGGAGGGTGGGGTGGTGGTCCGGCTGTCTGACTGCAGTCCAGCCTCGTGGCCGCTGAGCTCCACGTGGGGCCTGCGAGGGCGGGGGTCTGGTTTCGACCCGTCGTTCTTGCAGTAGGAGTAGCGGTGGTTCATGTGCTGGGAGTACGAGCCCGAGTGAGAGAAACGCTTCCCGCACTTGTCACACTGGTAAGGTTTCTCGCCGGAGTGCAGCCTCGAGTGTTCGATCAGGTGGTGTTTGTGTTTGAAGGCCTTCTTGCAAACCGGGCACTCGTGGGGACGTTTTCCTGCAGACAGAAAAAAAAAGAGTCAGCATTTTCACCCTTTGTGCATCGGGAGAACATTTATGTGACATAACTCGAGTCACACTGTTGATAAACAGCTGTCATGACAACATATGCTGAGGCTTGTTTTAAAGGTCTCAAAGGTCTTGCAAACTGCAATAAAAAAAAAAGTGATTTTAGTGGAACCACTGTGTGAAACCAGCCTGAGCTGCAGGGAAAGATTCCTTATAACTCACCTCATGAGTCTCATCTCCATCAACACTGAACTTATTGTGAGCAGGTTTATTTTACAGGGCAGCTGTCTCTTAACATTCACAACAAGCACAACTTGTGTAATCACTGACGATGTCCACATGTAAAGTACTGCTGACCTTAAGTTACTCAACCTTTAATTAAATTGATTTTGATTGATTTAAATTCACTGAATATTTGTTGGCAGAATTTTCAATATTCAATAATACCTGTGTGTTCGTATTTGTGCCTGATCAGGGAGCTGCCCTTCTGGAAAACCTTGGAGCAGAGATCACAGGGGTAGACGCCCTTTTCAAGCCGGGGCTTCTTAGCCAGCACACTTGTATCCGGGTCCATGTCCTCCTCCGCCGGGGCTACGCAGTCTGAGCCGGTGTCCAGCTGCTGCTGCTGCTGCGGCTGCTGCTTCTCCTGCTGCACATGGAAGAAAAAGATATATGTCAGAGGTCGAGGTGGTTAATGTTAATGCATAAATTTACTGCCTTTCATTCAGCTATCTGTGATTTAAAACTTCAGGAGCTGCTTTCAGATCAGTGCTCAATGAAAGGTTCAATGTGAGGGTTTATAAAGGGGCGAGCTTTAGTTGAACAATAAGGTGTGATGCAGCAGAAATCCTACCTAATAGTGTTTTCTTTTGATGGTGTACTTTAGGAAATACAAAGTACCTGGGCATCCACAAGACAATAAACCGGACTGGTCTAAAAACCCTGATGCCATGTGTACAAGAAGGGCCGGAGCTACCTGCTTATTCCCAGATGACCTTTCAAAATCTGCAGGAGAACCGTGCTGCAGACGTCTTATGGCTCTGCTGTATCCAGTATGATCTCCTACTCTTGTCATGTGCCGGGGCAGCAGGATGAAGCAAATGATGCTTACAGACTCAGTAAGGTCACCAGGGAAGATGGTTCTGTCCTGGGAATAGGGGCGCTCAGAAAAAGCTCAGTGTCATGGACGACACTGTTCAACCCCTGTCACTACCTGGAGTTCACATCAACAGATCCTGGGTCTGAACTGTCAATAATCCTTTTTACCGCACTGTCTCTGAATTTAACCCTCATCCACTTACAGTAATACTTCATAATGCACCCTCATGTGTTATGTCTTTCATATATTTCTCTTTATGTAAAACTCCTTTTTGTACTATAATGTTGGAGCAGCCAATCCCCAGACATCCCTTCAGGATTATTACATTCATCTTATAAATGTATCTCATAAAGCTAAGAAAGTTTTAAAATCTGATGCTTTTCTTGCACATGTATCATTTTACTTATGATATACTGAAGTGTTGAAACATATCACATGACTTCTGGTATCATGAAACAAGCAATACTGAAAACATCCCCCTGGTCTTTTGGAGGTTCTGGCTTTTGAGAGCTTTCATTTGATGAAAAAACTAAAACTAAGAGATGAACTGATGAGGGCAAAAGAAGTTCAGTTGCAACTCCAAGATAAAGTGATGCTTTTATTAACAGAACTTACTTTATATTCACTGAACGCAAAGCTGAAATATGAAATACAAATGTGACCTGGGATGTGGGATAACTCTTTCAAAGTAGATCTTGTGCAATGGAAACTTAATCACTGTAAACATTTTGACAAGTTTTTTTCTTTGCCTTCAACCATTCGAGTGACCCAAGAAAATAACAAAGCGTTTGAAAATAAAACATTTTGTCAGAATGAATGTTCATAACTACCAACCGTGTGACCGTTGAGCACCACAGTCTTCACTCCGGTGGCGTTGCCGGCTGTAGAGGCGTAGGTGTAGGTGAGCTGGGGGATGAGGATGGTGCGCTTGGTCGTGGAGTTGATGGTGCTCAGACAGCTCATCGTTCCCTGTCCCGCGATCGCCACCAACGTTGGGAGCTGCGCCGCGCTCACGATGTTGACGGGTCTGGCGGCCTGCGACGTGGCGACGTAGATGGTCCGCCCTTCGTACTGCTCCTTCCTCAGGCAGGTCAGGTTCAGGGGCTGCTCCTGCTGCTTCACCGGGGGCACGTTGGCGTCTAACGCAGCTGCGATGTGTTTGGGAACGGAGAGGTCGAGCGGCTCCGCCTGCGAGTCGATAGGCTCCGGGTCTTCTGGCTCGCTCTTCACGATGACGAGGTCGCCGTTGTTGAGGTTGAGTGGCGAGGAGTCTGAGGAAGACGCGCTGCTGGATTGTGAAGACGCTCTGTTGGATGTTAAACGGGTACTTTCACCCTCGGACTCTCCATTCTCCTTCAAGGCGTCCTTTGAACTGGAATTCTTTTTGGACGCCGCTGTGGCATTGTTGCGGTGTTGCTGCGCATTTTTTCCCCCAGAGTTCATCTTGGCGAACCACCTTCTGACCACGTCAACAGGAATACTGACGGACTCCGCGATCTTAGCCAGCTCCTCCTCGCTGGGCTTGGCGTGCGAGGCAAAGTAACCCTTGAGGAGAGAGAGGGGGTCGTCTACAGGCTGATCCTCCAGAGTCACCCCAGCCTCGCTCAACAGGTCGGCGAAGGAGGGGTCCAAAGCGGCCGAGTCCACCGCCTCCCCATTGGCCGCTTTGCGGTGCTGAATAAGGTGCAGCGCCTCCAGTGTCGGGACAGTCGTCGCAGAGTAAACACGTACTGGAGCTGTTCACTTTTGGCATGTGAGCCGCCTGAGAGTCTGAAGTCCGAGCGGTTTTCTTTTCCGTTTGTGTGACCGCGTCTGACTCCGTGATGGCCATCGATTCTGGCTCCGCCTTCACGCGCGAGAGGTCTGCCACCTCTGGGGTCGGGGGTTTGTCTGTTTTGCTGGGGGTGGGGGCTGCAGCAGTGGTGACAGTAGGAGGAGAGGGGAAAGGATTGTTTTTGGCAACAAGCGCTGCAGGCTGGGTCGTGGCAGTGGTAGCGGTTGCAGGGTTGATGCTGTAGTTGATGATGATCTTTGTGGTGCCGTCGTGATCCACGAAGGCCGGCAGACTGATGATCTGCTGCTGCGGCTGCTGGACTACAATTCCCTGCTTCCCTTGCGTCACCACGCCGTTCGCTGAGCCTAGCACCTGCCTGAGCACATTCCCGTCCATCGCCACCTTCAGCACATTCTGTAAGTCGCTCAGGTTGATGCTGATGGGCGACATCAGGCCGACCGTGGGTAAGACCATGGCCACGCCCTGAGGCAGGGTCGCAGCCTGAACCACGGCCGGCTGCGTCGAGCCGCCGTTCACCACGCCGTTGGTGGCGGATGAAGTGGTGGTTGCAGCCATCACAGGCTTGCAGGCGTATTCCACAGGTTCAGATTTGATCTGGGTGACGGGAATCTGCTCCTGCAGGGGTTTGCTGTCAGTCTTCTCTTTAAGAATCATGCGTGCTGGAGCTATTACGACCGGCGTGGTCTGGGAGGGAGGGGGAGGGGCTTTCATCAATGTTCGAGGGACACCATTGGGTTGCGCAGTACCCACACACTTCTTACTGCTGATGTGGGAGCTGTAGGAGCCTGAGTGAGAGAATCGCTTCTTGCAGTTTGAGCACTCGTACGGTTTCTCACCTGATTGAGGAACACAGAGAAAATGACAGTGTTAAAAAAACAAGCTCCTTAAAAAGTTGAATTAGGTCGACTCTCAACTTTATGATCTTTCATATTTTCTCTTCTGTTCCTCTTTGTACACTTCAGTTATCATTGGGCTGGATGTTGACTTACTCGTTTTTTAGGTTACTGACAAAATGCTTTCATGACAAAGTGTTTAATATAACAAGTCGCAGAATGACAGGAAAGAAACTGTGCTTTTTTTATTCTATTTTAGATTTTTTCAGGCCATATTTGCCTCTATTAGATAGCACAGCTGAAGAGAGACAGGACACGTTGGGAGGAGAGATTGGGGGGGATGACATGCAGCAAAGGGCTAAGGCTGGACTTGAACCCACAGCTCCTGCGACGAGGACTATAGCCTCTGTACATGGGGCGCGCAACATAACCATGAGGCTACCGGCTCCCCTGAAACTGATTTTAAATGTCCAGTTAAATTTGTACTATTGTTTACTTCATCTTTTAGGTCCGTGTTACTCGAGCCATAATCTGACTGTCGTTTCAAAGAGTGATAATTACGTCCCCCGCTTCGCCTTCAATCTAAACGTTGCGGAGGTGAAATGGAGGGACTAAGGGACCCCCCCCCTCTGTACCGTCTTCGGAGGTAGTAACAGAGGTGTTACAGGGGCCAGACAGTATCAGCTGAGTACATCACTGTGTGTTTGTGCATGTCTGACTGTGTGTATGTGAAGCCCCCCGCTGTGCCGTGCTTCCTCAACATAGAAACACAATTTGAATTTACAGACTGGGACAAAAAAATAATAATTAATAACGGCGCATTTGTGAAACTGGAAATGGAAATGTGTGTTCATTGCAAGAATCTAGGCAGAAGGGAATGTACTGTTTAGTAGTCTGGCAAAGATCTTGAACTTAAAATTTATCGTCAATGTTGTGACCTTTTGTAAAGCAAAGTTCTGTACTCTAGTAATAAAATAAATCCATAAAATCAATTGAACTGCTGCAGATTTTTATCTTTTCGGGTCACTCTTATCGTCTCTAATTTTTCTCTTCCTTCATGATGTCATTTATTTATTTATCCTTAATTTGATACCTTTCCAGTTGTGTGCAAACACAGTGAAAACAGATCATTCATATCAGTTACCAGCAAGTAGTGGCCTTCTCAGAGTTTGCCAGGCTGTGTGTGTGTGTGTGTGTGTGTGTGTGTGTGTGTGTGTGTGTGTGTGTGTGTGGCAGTCCCACGGTAACGGCTCACCGCTGTGAATGCGCAGGTGCTCCTTCAGGTGGTGCTTGTACTTGAAGGCCTTGGCACATTCGTTACACTTGAATTTGCGGAAACCAGCCGGTCCTCCTGACGGCTGGGAAACGTGACGCTGCAACAGACAAAAGCAATCACTGACGAGAGTCCAACAATACAATGATACACAAAATGTATTTACAGGTCTGCAGAAAGAAATGTAAAACTGAGTACGAGTGTCGGACCTTTTGAATACAATTTAATGTATCTGCATGCTCATTTTGCATTTAAATTTGTCTCTCTGGATTTTTTTATTTTATTTGGTGCACCCATGATTATTTTTTTGTAAAAGACTATTATTAAAAAGCACGGCAGAATAACTTCTCAGAACAGTAGTTGCAGTTTCACAAACTTCTGATCCTGACATAAAAGGGTTGTGTGTTTTTTTGTAAGATAAAAGAGGCCTTGACCCAGACACGCAGCTGGTTTTATCTTACCACCTTGAGCCGTGTAAACGTAGCCGTGGGGGGGGTCACATGGGAGTGGGCGTGGCTTTCTATCACAGATTAGGTTGAACAACAACCCCGCTGCCTTTATGAGGATTAGTCCTGAAGTGAACCCTTTATGCAAACATGTGGTAACTACTTTGTAAACGCACATTTAAGAAAGAGGCTGTAGAAACCGTGTGACCATTTTCACTCAACAGAGCCAAAAACTTCTAAACATAAGCCCATGGAAAGTAAAAAATAAATAAATAAATAAAAATATTATTTTAAAAACTCGATTGATCGAATCCAGAAACTGTAACTAAATAAAAATAATGACAATAAAAGAGTTGCAAGTTTGTTTTGATTTCTAAGACAAAATGCGACCATGCCTTTGCAAGTACAGCCTATCCGATGCTTTAAGATCAGACCCAAACTTGCACCAACTTACCGCAAAACTGTTCAAGAGCTGCAGGCCGATGTTTGCACTTATGAACGTGAAGTAAACACGCTGCACTCGGTCCACAAACAACACAACGATCCGTGTCACTAATCCAGAATACGGATGTGCTCAGCTTGTTGTGTTAAGTTTCTCCGATGCAGGATGTTCCCCTTTTCTTTATCCTTCCCCGATTTAACCAACAATAGCGGAACGAGACAAAAGGTAAGGTCCGCTGCAGGTAACCACGGGGCCAGGTGTGCCATGAGGTGAGGTGAGCGCGTAACGTTCCTCAGAGGAAGACGACGCCCCCTTTTTTTTCCCCCAGAATGCAGCACTGCGTGACGTAACTGGTACCTTTGTTTACTTGGTACCTTTGTTTACTTTTTAAACATTTCGCGCGAAACGCTCTTTGCGTGCAGGTGGAGGCAGAGGTGAGGAAACAACGTGACGAATATTTTTTTTTTTTTTTTTTTTCAACTCGTTTATCACAGTTTCCCAAACAGAGTCAAACTTTGAGGCATTTGTGCTACTTTACTGTATAATAATAATAAAAAAAAACAATATTAGTAGCCTAAATGTTTTATCACTTTCTTATTGGCACGCGTGGTCGAAGGTTTTTGTTACCATGACAACAGAGGATTACCGGTTAGAGCTCGTTTAATGACAAAGCCTTACGTTTTATTATTTTAAAGAAAATATATTAATATTCATTAAGTGGAAGCTACTACAATAAGCTTTCTGACATTTATGTTTGTACTTTCTCATAAAAATAAAAAAGAAATTTAAATGAGAAAAAAGAAATTCCTACAAATATTACTTTCAAAATTCTGTATTTTACAGTTTGTGTTACTCGTTATAATAAAAACGCTATGTCATAACATAGCCTATAGTCTGTGTGATTGCTGAGCTTTTGCACGCCTGTTAAACTGTTAAACTTTGAGGTTTTTAGGTTTAAGGAACAGTTTTTGTACACTACTGACTGAAAAGCAGATTTTATTCTTGAAAGAAAAAATCAGTGTGTGTATGAAAAACAACCCACACATCGACTAATCCTTTACTAGATCATTCTTTAGCACAACTGTGGCTCGGCAAAATAGCAAAAGGAAATAAAGTGATGACGGATAAGAGGTTCAAGCGTCTGGTAAAGGAGATAGTAAGGTACAAAAACACTCATAAGTGGTTTAAAAGAATCTCCTGATGTAGGACATAAATAAACACTTTTTTAAAATCTATTATAAGAACCTGAAAAGTTCCCCCAAAACATCTCCTAATCACTGTTTTATCAGGAATGATTGGATTGTGTGACACACCAGCCTGCCGATCAGAAACCCCTTCTGACCTCCACTTTTAAAAAGAGTCGTCGCCTTGGGGTGCTGCTGTTACCTGCTCCCTGTTGCTCTTGTGGTGGGTCATGTGCCTCTCCAGTTGTGAGCGGTACGTGAAGGTGTAGCTGCAGTGCGAGCAGCTGTAGTTGTCGTCGCTGGTCTCGTGGCGGTACTTGATGTGATCCTTCAGCGAGGCGTTGCGCTTGTAGCCCCGCGAGCAGTAGGGGCAAATGTGTAAGGCGGGGGTGCCTGTGATACGGGACAAAGGGGGAGATACAGGGTGATGCTTTCGCTCCTTCATCTGGATTCAAACTGCTTCACATTCACAACATATCCTGTGTTTGCTGTTTCTGAACATTTCTGAACACACAAACAAACTGAAAGCCATGACCATGTGCTGAGCGGTGAATCATCCAGAGGAGAATATTTATTCTTCTTTTTGATTGAGCTGCCTGAACATTGGGCTGAAATCTGAAACTATAGCTACAAATATATGACTGACTCTTTATTTCCTGGATGAACTGAGTCACTGTGCTTTGATATGACAAAACTTGAAGTTGATATTGATGAAAACAGTATAAGCGTGTTATTAAGAGGGGAGATTACAATATAACCCAGGACCTGAAGGCTTCCTAACAGGTACACAGCTCTAAGAGTATTAGTAAACATGTCTCTGTACACCTCTGGGTCGATGATGTCACAGTGAAATAACTGATTCTAACAGTGAGCTGACCTCGGTCACTAAGGCCTGCAATAACTAGAAAGACGATGACACTAAGGTAATAAGGTTTAACATCAAGTTAAGTGTAGGAAGAAAGAAGAACAGCTTTTATTTAGTGCTTTTTTAAAAGCATTTTTATAGTTTTTATCTCTTCATAATGTTTTTATTTCTTATTGTTTCTGTCTCTTTTAATTGCTTATTTATCTTCTTAGATTCTCAGTTCTCTTGGTCTCAACCTAAGTTGCCAGGTTTCCTGTGTTGCCTGAGTTACTGTGAGTTTTTATGTTGCCTGGGTTCTGATGATGTTTGGGTTCTGACTTTGTTTGGATTTTAATGTTGGTCTGGTTGTGGTTTGGGTTATACTGTTGGAGTTTTGTTGTAGATTGGGGGTCTCATCTGTGGGTTTCTTTGTTTTTTGGGTTCTTATGCTTTGTTGTTTTCTGCATGTGTTGTAAACCCTTGTTTTTAAGACTGCTTTATAAATATAGTTACTATTATTAAAATGAATGTGTGCAGACACTTAAATAGGTTGTCGGTTTGTTGGGTGTGTGAATGTTACCATTTTCATCTGCACCTCCCGTCTCTGCTGGACTCTGCTCATCGTCGGGGCTTCGGGGTAGATGACGGCTGTGTCTCCCTGCTGGAGAATCTCCTTCACCACCTCCTCCTCTTCTTCCGACACACACTCCTCCTTCACTGAAACACACACAAACACACAAAGGTTAGAGGATCATTGTAGCCCGTTTTATCCAACACTGGCATCATGTGATGCTGTTTTACATTACCACCACTAGAGAGCAGCAGAGAGCTTCTTAACTCCCTCTGACAAACATGTAACAGAAACATGTTGATTTGAACTTTCTGCAACATTGGCAATTTATGTTTCTAACATCAAACCTTGCAGAGTACAACTACAAACCAGAGATGAAGAAAATCAGTTTTTAAAATATTTGGATTATTATACAAAAAGGCTTTAAAGATTGTTTCAAAGGCACAATTCCTGATTATTGTTTTTTTAAATATTTGAAATATCCTCCGATCCCACTGTTGGTGTTTTTAGGAACATGGGCTCAAGGTCACATCATAACAGCACAGATGAAGTAAATAAGACAAAATATGATTTTAACAGCTTTTACGAAATATTTAGAACTACTCACACATTATCTCAAAACATTTTTTTTACAAAATCAGTTTGTAAACTTTCTCAAATCCCAAAGAAAGTGAAAGGAGCTCCAGTAAAAGTCTCTGTAATGACTCAGCTTTCACGACTCTTTAAGACTACAGTTCTGAATGAAAGTGTGACAGCAGTTCAAAACCACACAAGAAAGCTCCAGCGTATGTTCCTCTGACCTTTTCAGGTGCTGGATTACTTGGCGGATAAGGCTGAAGAAAAAAAGCGGCCCGAATTGTTGCTCATGTGATTTCTGTACTTTGAAAGTAACAAACGAACAGCTCTCTTGCTGTGGTATTACAAAATGTTCTTTATAAGTTAATTATCTGGGACAGAGTCGTTCCCTCACTTTGTGTGTGTAAAAATGTTGATAAAGAAACAAGTCGAGGTGAAACTGCGACCGGAGTTACTATGGACACCAAGCATTTTAAGTGCAGGCAGGACCTGTGCCAAAGGCCACGCCTCTTCCTGCTGAGCCTTGTCAGAGACAGGTGCAGCTGTGTGTGTGTGTGTGTGTGTGTGTGTGTGTGTGTGTGTGTGTGTGTGTGTGTGTGTGTGTGTGTTCATAAAGTAAACGCAGACCCAGGCCGAGCCCTGTTAAGCCTCATCTCAAACACACAGATCTCTGCTTCCCATGATCTCATCGCAGAGCTCTCCAATAACTCTCTCTCCTCAGAGACACACTCATCCACCTTTCATCCCACTTTCTCTTCTTCACTTGTTTTTCTCTCTCTCTTCTTCCTTCCTCTCCCTCTCTTTTTTTCTGTTTCTCTCCTTCCCCTCTCTCTCTCTCTCTCTCGCCTCCATTCTTTCTGCTAGTCCATCAACACTAACAGCATGTCTACATCTCCAGTGCTGCGTCTGTGTTCAGGCACAGTATGGAGCGTTTGACAAACATGTCTTGGCAGCGCTCTGAGCCCTGCACACAATCACTGAAGTCGAACAGAAGAAGAATAGAGTACAATGGATGAACAGATGGATGATTAAAATAGAAGCATATCTGTCCCATCAGAAAGGTACAGTAGTAGACTGGGGAATAAAAATTCAGCTACATTTGAACTTCTTTTTTGTTTTAAATCTTTGGGTTTGCCTTCAGACTTTGCCCGCATGCTGACACCCCCAAAATAACTTTGTCCTTCTGTTACCTTCTCTGACAGAACCTTTAAACTTCCACTTCAAACTCTTCTTTAATTATTCCTTTTCAATGTCCCTTCAGGGTGTTGCGTCCATCTTATTTCACTGCACAATGACTCTGGCAGACGAGTTGGTAATCATTGACATTAGCTGCTCACAGATTGTGATTCTACAGTGCTGTGATGAAGTTCCACCACCAGAGATAATAATATAATAAAGTTGTCCCAGTGTGTGGATTCATATTGCATAATGGCCTCGCAGACTGCTGAGAGGGAGCACAGGAGGCACAGCATGTGAGCACACAGGAGGAGCTCCACACACACACACACACACACACACACACACACACACACACACACACACACACACACACACACTGTTTCCCCCTCGCCGGCTCCAACGCTACACAATGCCAGCACGTTCCCCCCATTAGGCCTCTGTCACTACCTCCACTGGCAGATCAGGGGAGGAACTTCTTCACTCGCCCATTCTGCCTCCTTGCCTTACATACCGCACGAGAGGGACGTAAGTATTCCGCCTTCACATGGCAGTCTGTACGCGCCAATGGAAGCATCAAATCGCTAAGTGAAGTCAGGTTTTAAGCTCGTGCTGCATTCAAGACCACAGGAACTCAAACATTTATGACTTACTACAAGAAAAAGAACAATTAAACGCAACTCAAAGTACGGGTTTCAATTACAATCTGGCTTCCTACCATCATGAAAACAAGACAATCAAGATTAAATATTTACGTCTCTTGTCACAAACTCGTCCTGAAGTCTAAGAGGAAGCTTTAGATGCTTTAGCCGTGACACCATTTTGTTGTTGGCTATTAGATGAAGGCAGCTTAAAGGTGACATATTCTCCTCCTTTTCAACAACTTTAAATAAGTCTCAGAGCTCCTCAAAACATGTGTGTGAAGTTTCTTGCTCTAAATCCACTCAGATCCTGTATTTGATCATGTCTATAAACGCCTCTATTTCAGCCCTGCTCAGAACAGGCTGTTTCTGTGTCTGTACCTTTAAATATGTAAATGAGCTGTGTCTGACCACGCAGGATGGACTTTTCGCATCATTGGGTGGTTTGTAGACGGACTAGAGACACATATTAGAGTTAGGAAAACATGGTAAAGTGTATTTAAAATTATATGTGACCTTTAATTTAGTTGTTGCCCTATATTGTTCTGATAATTGGGGTTTGAATAGTCATAGGGTTAGGGTTACTCTTTGTATGTCCTCTTATTTCTTCATTGGTCTTTGTGTTTCATAGAGTTTTTTTACGTTTGATTGTGCAGAACGTTGGTCGCCCTGTTTTGATTTTGAACGTGCTTCTAGATAAATCTGGATTGGATTAGATTTTTTTCCTAAGAACACTTCTTCTCTACGGTGTTCTCTAATATTTTCCTTGTGTTTCCCTTCCTCTCGTCCACCATCACTCTTAATTACTCTACCTCCTTCCTCACACCAGTTAAACCATCTTTTATCACTCTTCACCTTTTACACAGTGCCTCTTCCATCTCTCCATTTCTTCTTGCTACTCTGCCTCCATCTTTTCTTTTTCCCTCTAAACTTCTCTTTCACTTCCCTCCCTTTGCTTTACCTTTCTTTCTGCCCCTCACCTCCCTCCCTTGTTTTTCTTGACTTCTCTCCATCACTCCTCCTCCTCCTCCCCCTCACTGATACACCTCTCTGCATATTTTCCCACCACACTCTACAATTACTCTTAATGCCTCACAAAAAGCCACGCTGTAATGACGACCTGGACTCTGCAACAACACACACATGTGAAATATCAGACTGGAATGAAAACAGGAAATCATGTGGTGCACACACACACACACACACATACAGACTTGATCAGGCACATTTTGCATGGACACACACACACTTGCAGAATTATTCAGAGGCACTAGCACCCACTAAAGACTCCAAACACTCTCATACTCAGAGTACTGCACTAGTGCACCTTGCCAGAACCTGTCACTGTGAGTCGGAGGTGAATTTATCAGGCGGGATGGATTGGAGCTGCAGTGCGGCCCAGACTGCAGGAGGGGAGTTACGCACTAATCTCTCACTAGAGGACCAATTCAACACCAGCTGCTCTCCCTGCTTTCTCCTCAGACGGCGAGGAAAGAAAGGAGTGAAAGTCAGACAATCCAAAGAGATCACACAGAGCCTTTGAAGGGATCTCAACTTCTCACGGCTTTTCTATGCCTTCCCTCAAACACACGTTGAGATCTTACACAAACTTTAACTGGATTCTTTCTGGTCTGTTAATGTTTATCCTACATTTTTAAGGTATTTTTTTATTGCTCTACTACTGCACACTGTACTCAGGCATCACAGTTTGACACCAAAAGAGCTTCAAGCAACAGTTGTGATAAACAGTAAAAGCATAAAAAAACACACTGGCCTATTTTTCTGTTACCTCTCCGCCTGCCTGCCAACCCTCCAATACCTGCATACCAGCCACTTTTTTTTTTTTTTAATCAATCAATCATTGTATTGTTGTTGTATCTTTGTACCATTCAGCCTGTACTGTCTGCATTTGGGTCTTATCCTCCTACTCACACTCCCAAACGTGACATGTTGGCTGGATGATATTGACTTTTCACTCCATTCATGAGGTCGACCACTTGCCTCAGAGTCACAACTATAAATAAAACATGAGAAAAACTCCAGGCACTCTCTTTAAACTGTGAAACACCTTCTAGTCCTGATAAAAGCAGCTCAAAAGAACACTTTTGAGTCCCAGATGCCCATTTCAGTATCTTCCATATCAGTAAAAATGAATGTTTTTGTCATAATTCATAATTATAAACATTAAACTTTTCATAACAATCCCTTAAATTTGGATAACTAGGAGTAACCTAGTGGTTACTGCGCACGCCCCATGTAGAGGCGGGCCAGGCTTGAATCTGACCTATGGCTCCTTTTGGCTCTTTTTCCTGCATGTCATTCCCCACCCTCTCTCTCTCTCTCTCTCTCTCTCTCTCTCTCTCTCTCTCTCTCTCTCTCTCTCCCTCCCTGATTTCTGACTCTATCCACTGTCATATCTTTAAAATAAAGGCATAAAAAGCCCAAACCTTAAAAAAAAAAGGAAATATGACCAAGATATATTCTTCATGAGACATGCTACAAAGAAAAAATGCCTTTATTTATAGAGGACACGTGTGGGAGATGACATGCAGTATAGTGTCCGGGGTCAGACTCAAACCTGGGTCGCCCACATCAAGGACTAATGCCTCTGTACATGGAGCAGCAGGCTATCCGACGCCCGGACAGCTTGCTTGGTAAGACTGGTGGTGGTAAGACTTGCTTGATAACTCCTGTTACCTATCCGCTGTAGTTAGACAGTAACCATTGGCTGTAAGCACTTCACAACCTGCTGG